TTCTCCAGGACACCTGGGGAGCTGACTGTCAGATGTCCATGTGTCCCCACACCCACCCCAACCCCATGGCCCCACCAAACTCTGGCTAGGGGGCTGGAGCTTTGCTTGGTGGGTGAGAGCAGGGGGCAGACATGGGCCAGCCACGGGTCTGGTCCTCTGCAAGGCCTACTGTCCGGGCTCTGTGGCGACATCTCTCCGCCAGACTCCAGGCCTCCTGGTTGTAGGCACCTCTGTCCCAGGGGAAAGAGCTGGGTACCCCAGGTGGGTACCCAGAAGCAGCCACTCCCTGTGTCCTGGGTTGGAGTAACTGCAGCTTCATTGATCCCCAGCTCCAGCTCTCATCGGAGAGAAACAAGGATGAGCCCAAATTGAATCATGGTGCCTCCCAGGGCACCGTTCCTTTGGACACTCGATGACGGAAGCCCAGATGCAGACCGACTGGGAGGTTAATGAAGCTTATGCCTTGAGGCGCTCCCTGGAACAAGCCCCTTCCAAGACTGCAGACCTCCTTTTGTATTTGCCATTTTGCATTCTTCTTCTTCAAGGGGGACCCCTCAAATGATATAGGCTTCAGGTGCCACAAAACTGAACCCACCCCTCAACTCTGTAAAATCTTGAGCAGACAGTGGGTGCCTGGTGGCTGAGCGCTTGTGGGCCTCCTGCCTGAATCTCAAACCAGGACTTCTGCCCCGGCAGCCTGGGGGTCAGATGGCGGAGGGCTCCAGCTCAGAGCAGGCAGTGTCCTCTTTGTGGCCCAGGGTGGGTGTGCTGGAACTGTCGGGCAGGTCCAGTAGAAGGAGACCGTCAGCTATAGGAAGATCAAAGCTTCATCTTGAGAAGGAGCCGACAAGTGTGAATGCACCAGATCAAGCAGCACTTCTAATTATGTCCATATGGCCTACTGGCGGGGCATTTGGTGCTAACCCATGGTTGACCGCTGGCTTAAAATGGATGCTGTGATATAAAATACCCTGAATTGTACACTTTAAAAGGGTGGATTTTATGGTATGTGAATTACATCTCAATAAAAAAAGAAAAAAAAAAAGAAGGCTGAGATCTGGGTTGCTGTGGAGCTGGGTTGCTGGGTCCCGGCTTGGACCCAGACGTGGCGGGCCCATGAAGGCACTTCTTGGTGCCGGGGCTTCTGGGTTGCTTCTTGAGGCATCGGTCACACACAGGGACCAGTGTTCAGGGACTACTACGTCCTGGCCGGGTCCTCACTGAGCTAGGAGACAAGACGGTGGCACTGCAAACAAGGTTCCTGTCCAGCTCAGGTCCCCGGGGCCCATGGAGGGGCTTCAGCCACTCCTGGGCTACTGGGCCCCAGTTTGCTGCCTGCATCTTGGCAATTTTCACCAAACCCTCTGAGCCTGGTATCTGCTCTGCTGGGGCCAGTGGAAGAGTTAACCATTAACCTGGAGGTGAGAGAGAGGAAAGGGCTGGGACAGCACCCACTGGTTGCCTTCCCGCCCTCTGGGGCAGTGGGGGCCCCTCCTGAGCTACACTCCCAGCCCTGTTAGCGGAGGCACTGGGTGCGGGCAGGGCAGGTAGAGCAGAGCTGTCCCTCGCAGAGGAACTGGGCCTCCAAGCACCCGGCAGAGCCGCCTGTGGGACCCAGGGACTGGCCCTCTCGTGGCCCAGGCCCCCTCACCGCGGGTGCCCGGGTACATGGGCAGACACTCCCCTCCCCAGAGCCAGCCCACAGCATGCCCCCAGCCCAGAGCTTTGTTAGTTTGGCTGCACGTCAAATGGCACTGAGAAGCCTGTTCAACCCCTTTTCTGAGAGGACATGGCCCCTCATACCCACTGGTGATCCTGTCGCTAGACGCTGTGGTGACCCAGCAAGGACACCAGCCAGAAGATATCGGTGCCCCTCCAGTCTTCCTCTGTGGGACACACTCAGGCACACACGTGCACATACACATACACAAATGCACATGCACTTGTGTGTGTTGTGCACACTGGTTTCTTCTACCCCCTGGTCTGTGTCAAGGAAATATTAAAGTGACTCTTCATGGACTGGCTCCTGCAAAAGGCACAGATGCTTTGCAAGCCTCCAGCCCAGGTCCTGGGGGTGGGATGGTGCCCTCGTCAGGCCTTATAGCACCGGGTCTGAGCTGCCCTCCAGGGCTCTTTTGGGGGCAGGTGGAGGTGAACAGGAGCCTTGTGGCCAGGCTCTTCTTTGGAGCGCCCTGCCACAGGCGCTGCTGTTTTGTCTGGACACCACATCTTAGTGAAAGTCCCTGTGGGCTGGTGTGGCCGAGGGAAGCAGATGGGAGCAGCAGCTCCACTGTTCGGGCCACCTCCGAGGACCAGGCCTGCATCTGAGGAGGGCAACCTAGCCACAGTCCACATAGCAAGTCACAGTCCGGGGCCTGGTAAGATGGGCATTGATGCTGCCCACATGGTGGGAGGTGGCCTGGAGGGGCTGGGGTGGAGGCATGGCCACGGGGTGCATTGTGCTGGCCGGGGAATCTGGGGCCCATTGCTATCGCAAAGTTGCTAGAAGGTCCTTGCATGTTCCCAATTCCTCCACCTGTCTGGCTCCATCTCTTGTGGGCAGGTCAGCCAGCTCGGGAAGATGATCTCTACGATCCTGCTCGGATACTCATCAACATGGCTGCTGAGTCCCTACCCCGGCCCTGAAAATACTTCGCTTGCTGGCATGGAGGTGACCGTTCCCATCACGGGCCTGTCTGGCTGCCCTCTGCCTGGTGGTTGGCTTCTGACTGACAGCCTGATGAGGCTGGTTGTTCCTGGTGGGGAACCTCAGTGTGCTGACTGGCTCACGGCAGCAGGGGCTTTGTTTCTGATACAAGGACCCCTGAGACTGAGATGGTTTTCCCTTTTGTGGTTTGGAGTGATATGCTTTCCTGGAGCTTGGGCAGGGGTGCTGAGGCCACAGCCAGGGAGGGAGGCAGAGCCCAAGATCCTGCCGCAGGGCTCCAAGCAGCATGGCTCCAAGCAGCATGGCTCCCTGTCTCTTGGATGGTCCCAGACAAGGACTCCATGCTGGGCAGGGGGAGGGAAGGGTAAAGCTACCTTTGAACACCCCTTCCTACTGTAGGGTAACCACAGCATGTGGGCAAACGAAGCCAGTTAGGACAAAGTTACCTGGGGAGGCTGCCCCTCTGCCAGCCTCTCCCAGACTGATAGAAATGTTCTCTGGGTCAAGCCAACCACATCCTCATTCCAACCTTGTCCTTAATGCAGCCTCACAAATTCCCAGGACTTGTGGATCCTAGAAGAAATTACACTGTGTAGCCTCCTAGCCTTGCAGATAAGGAGGGACCTGCCTTGCCCAAAGGTTTCCCACAATCAGAAAATGGAAACCAGCCTTCACTCCTCTTGTATGAGAAATGGCAGTCACCCTGAGCTGGTGGTTTATGGACATGCTCTGGTCAGTGTTTAAGAACCAAGGCGTACAGGAGCATGGGGTGGACGAGTAGGGGTCCAGCTCAGTGTTGAGAGTGGTTGGGGACAGTGACACAGGTGGCCCCCCCCAAAGTTCCTACGCCCCTCCTTTCCCTCTCAGTGCACTCTCTCACCTGTGCAAAGACACCACTTTTAATTAAATTTTTTTTTTTTATTAAAATACTGTTATACCCAGTGGAATGCAGCAGCAATCCTGGTACAGGGTGGCATAACAAAACAGCCATGTTTACATTTTAAATATTTACGATAACTTAAACATACAGACACACATCATGGTCTTTGGCAGAAAATGTTCACAGCACAAAAAAATACTTTAAAAGAAATACCAAATATTAATCCAAAATATATTAAGTTGTTTTTTTTCTTCCACAATATTTTTTTGCCTTTTTTTCTTTTTTCTTTTTTTCTTTGTAAACAATGCATATGAACCAAATGCATTTTTCAGCTTTCAAGAGGGGTAGGGGGATTTTAAAAAACTATGCAATTGTCCAGCAAATGCAAATGTTTAAAAAGGAAACTTGAGGAACCATGGGAATAAAATAACACATATAAAACCTAAAAATGGTAAAGGAAAAAAAAAAAACAAAGATTCAAGGAGAACTAAAAACAGTCAAGACAAACTGCTAAAACCCACCAATCGCTCCTGGGGCTGAGCTGGGGGACTCTTTAAGACCAGAAGTCAAAGTCACGGCCACTGGCAGGCTGCCATTGGATGCTTCACTCCAGTTCTCAAGCGCCGGCCCTGCTTCAGGGCGCTGGGCACGGGTGGCTCGATGAGCCAACCTCACAGCGCCATGCTGTGACGGGGGCTCCATTCAGAGGACTATCTGAGTCACGTCTCCCAATCCCTCCAGGGTGGGTGGACAGAGACCCTGATGAGAACAAGGCCATGTCTCCAGTTTCCTTTGGGAGAACTGGTGCTGGGAACCCCACCACAGCAGACTTGTGTGGTGGCTCACTTCACCTGGCTCAGGGCTCATAACCAAACTGACAGGATGTCCCAAGGACAGGAGCCGTGGAGCCATTTCAAGAGGCTGGTGATGGTGGGGGTGGGGGTCACGTGGGCATTTCAAAAAGGGTTCAAGATGGGGAAAAAGACAGCCAATATCCCGTGGATCAACTGGATCACGGGGCCAAGGGCTTGAGAAGGGGCAATAACTGGGCGGAACCGTGACAGCAGAGACGGGAGCACAGAACGAGGGGACAAATCTGAAGCATCCTGCTTCAGTCCTGTTCCACAAAGAAGGGAATTATATACAAACCGCACAGCGCATCCCAGTCCTTCCCAAGTGAAGGGGTGAGGCTGTGGCCTCGACGGGCCCCACAAGATGCAAGTGTGGGTGAGCCCAAGGAGGCGGTGAGGGGCTGAGGAGGTTGGAGGGACCACACTGAGCCAGGCCTGACTAGTAAACCAGCGCACCTGGCGTCCACGGGCAGCCATCCTTGGCAATCAGCCCCCAAATCAACATATCCTGTCCCACTCTGCCCGAGTGTCCACTGGGGGTGCAGAAGGGGCTACTCCCTTCTGAGCTTTCGGTTGCTACCCCGGCAGCAAGCCTTGGGCTGCAAGCAGGTTAAGGTCCAGTCCTCATTCCACGTGGGCCCAGGAGGAATGTGGGGCTAAGGAGCAGAGTCTTCTGGGGGCTGGGTACTCACAGCTCCCCTCTCCTCTGCAGCATCCTTCCTCAGCTCCTGGGACCAGATGGTCAATGGGAATGAGTGCTGGGCTGGGGGAGGGTGAAGCAGCCTCTGTAGGGGCTGCTGGAATGGCCACGTGGCAGAGGGCAGAGGAGAGCAGGGAGTGGTTCGGAGTCCCCAAGGCACCACCTCCTTCAGATCAGTATCTCCACCATGTCCGACAAGTCTTGGACTCTGGATGTAGCAACAGAATCTGGAGAGATAAGAACACAGGCACATGCCAACGAGCATTACCACACTGCTCTTTTAAATCCTACCACGTTTGAAAGATAGGATCTATCTTCACCAACTTTTCCCAACTCAGCTGCCCAGGTCGCCATAACTTGGCCAACCTAAGCACAAAGCTCTGCTCCCTCTGGGCTCTCTGTCCAGACCACCAGCCTCCAGAGTGGAAGACACAGTTGTTTACAACTTGGAACTGGTCGGAGGGCTCGGAGGGAGGGTGGAGGGCCCCAAGGGAGGGAGGCTGCCGCATTCTTTTCATGCCTGTGGTTTTCTGAGATGGTGAGGCCAGGCAAATATGCAAAGGCTAATGTGAAAGGGAGCAAACACAGTAATGGCATCTTCTCAAATTTCTCTTCTCCGGATTCTTTTTAAACAAAGTCTCCTAACTTGAGTGGAAGCGTAACTCACCAAGCTCCATTATTTTAGATATTTAGACTGGCAATAAAAGAAGACTTCCAAAGAGAAGATGAAGAGCCTCCCAGGTGGATCTGTCTGTAATCAGGGTTTTCAGTTCCCCTATTCATGCATCCAACCAGCTCTCACATGTACTGTGGTGGGCCTCACACCCTGCTCACCCATCCCTGTGCAGGGCTCCCTGTGGAGTGTGGGCAATGAGTGGGTCTGGGTCTGGGAATAAAGGGTCAGGGGCCCCAATTCACACCCCAACATGCCCTCAGCCCCGCAGAGAAGCCGGGGGGTGGGGGGGGAAAGGGGACTTACCCAGCAAGGCTGTCCTCTGGCCACTGCTGCACCCCAGAAGGCCGTCGGGCTCCAGGCCCAGGCAGGTGGCGGCACTGTCTGGGGGGCTGTCAGTCTGGGTGCTCCCATCCCTGCTCGCGTGTTTGGCGTGGGCAGCTAGGGGAGCCTCGGCCACTGGCTCCTCCGCCGGGGCCCTGTCTGCTGGAAAGGCAGGAGGTTCACAGTTATTGCCTTGTCCATAAGATGGAGCCCCCAGGAAGAACACTCCTACTTAACTGTACCTATTAGGGATGCAAATTGCTCTTGATTTGCAAGAACTTCGATTACAACTAAATGCTCCTGTTTCCAAATGGGAATAACTATCAGGTTGGACTGGGTTCCAAAAACTTCGAGTAGAAGAGCCTTTCTTAAAGGGTTGTAGATTAAATCTTAAAACCAGTAGGGACTCTCAGATTTCTGTGGCATCTGCTTAGAAGGGGGAGTGGAAGGGCTGGCTCAGAAGGTACATCTGTACAGGGAGCTCTATTTTTACTTAAATGGTAAGTGGCTGGGGCCAGGGTGGTGGAATTTCCAGAGATGGGGGCTACAGCCTGCCTCTTCACACCAAGGGGACAGCTGTGGGCTGCAGGATCACTGGAGCCAGAGTATAAGCCAGCTTCCCTGGGTGAGAGGTTGGGACACCCTGGCTCTTCTGAGCCTCAGTTCTGAGAGGAAAGGCCTGAGGACACCCTGGCCTCTGCCTCTGCCGCTTACCCGCCTCCTCTCACCTGCAGCCAGCCGGGCAGGGGCATCCACCTGCCGCTCGCTGGAGGACAGCCCTTGCCAGCCCTGGACCCCTGCTGCTGCAGCCACGAAGATAGATGGCACCGACTTGGCGGGCCTCAGGGAGCCCTGGGTGGCCTTGCCAGGATCCTTCCTGGAGCGCTGCTGAAGGACCTTGATCACCGCATCCTTCTCCAGGATCTGGGCATGGAGCACCTTTAACCTGAGTGGGGAGAGGCCATGCTTGCATCTTCGGACCTACAGACCCAACAGCCCCCATCCTTCCCGCCTTGTAGAAGTTGGAGGGAAAGCCTTTCCTACAACCAGGCTGGGCTCTCCTGGCCTTGCAGCAGGGGCAGGAGGGGGCCTTCAGAAATGCCATCACAGCTCTGGAACTGGATGCTCTGAAAATTGCCCATGCGTGAAGTGCTGGGCCCTTCTCACACCAGCAAAGGCAGGTCATCAAGGGTCAGGTTCTGGGTTCATCCAACGACAGCAATGGTACAACCCCCGTCCTGGAGGACCACCCCCAGGGCTGTTGACCAAATGGGCTCAGTCAACGTGCTTGTGCTTTTGAGCCAGGTATAGGTTAAATGGAAGTCTTGTGGCGCCTCTGAGATTGTTTTTGGAGAGAAAATACTAGCTACCCCCAGGCCGGGGGCCTCGGCCACATTCCTTCTGGGGGTGGTACATGGTGTGGACTCAGTAGGAAAGTCTTACTCTCTGATTTACATGGCGGAGGGGGAGGGGATAGAGTCCCAGAGACTTGGATGGCATCCAACAGTGCGGTCTCCTGGGCAGACCAAGGACTTGGTTGGTACCTCTGGGAAAGAATACGTGTATGATGCCAGCTATGCCAAAAGCACGGGGGTCAGCTCAGAAGTAGGAGGGATTGTTAGGCCAGGTGGGGTGAGGGGTGCTTATCACGGATTAAGGACAGGGCAGGGACTTGACATCGCCACCCCCCTACCCCCACCCAGGTGCCCAGCCTGTAATGCCCAACCTGCTTTCCATCTCCTGATGCCTGTGGCCGCCAGTGAGCAGGCCCTCGTTGAAGCTGCTGCTGGGCGAGGGCTGGGGGGAGTGCCGGATGAGAGTGGTGTCGCGCTGGGCGGCAGCCGTGGCGGCCGCATCCATGGCAAACTGCCTCATGGCACGTTCCTCCAAATACTTCTGCTCCCACTTGGTCATGTCGGCCTCCAGTGCCAGGACCTGCTCCTCCTTCTCTCGTAGCTGCTCCGACAGCCGCAGGGCACTGAGCTCCGGGGACCCACCGCCGCTACTGCCACCACTGGGGCTGCCTGCCTGTCTCTGCAGAGAGAGGAGCACCGTGGTCAGGGGCGGCAGCTGGGGCGCGTCGGCCACAGGTCCTCGCCTTCACAGGACTCTCACCGAGCCTTGGGCTTGGTCAGCCTCCCCGTACACTCATCGCAGCCCGCTTCCACCCAGAGACAAAGGGGAGGCATGGGTCCCCGCACCCCCGCCCCAAATCCTGTGGCCAAGGGTGTGAGAAGATCAGGTCTGCCTTTGCATAGCGACCACATAAATTATCTTCCAATCCAGGAAAGGGGTGCAACTCAATGACACTGCGACAACTGGTGTAAACTAGGACAGAACTGGGCAATCCAGGAGGTCTGGTCACCCTATCTCTGTGGGAAGGGTAAGGTTGGGAGTGGAGACAGAACCCTATCTGGTCTGTAAACACAAGAGCTATTCACACAGTCCAAAGTGAGGATAAAGACTCAGGAGCTGGGCGACTATCTTCTCCCAGGATCCTGAGGAGACACACAAGAGGTGGCTAGTCTCCTCCATCAATGCTCCTGAGCGACTTTCTCTAGAGACCAAGTTGCCAACCTGTGCTGCTGCTGAGGACAGAGGCCCAAGTCTCGAGTCCCCGAGGTCAGCACATGGCCCAGTGGCAAAGCATCTGCTAAGACTGGTGGCTGGGAGGGGCCTTCAGCAAGGCCGGCACAGATCACCCTGGCTTTCCAAGGGGGCTCGGCCTGGATCTCAGCAGGGGGTCCCGGGGGCTTCAGAGCTGGCCTCCTCTGATGCTGCTCCAGTTCTGCCACCTCCGCGGGTCTTCCCAGCTCACCTGCTGCGCACGCAGGGCCTTGAGTTCCTGCTCCAGGCGCGTCCGCAGCCGTAGTTCCAGCTGCTCACGCTTCTCGCAGGCAGCCTGCAGCTGCCCCAGGGCCTGCTGCAGCCGCTCCACCTTCTCCACGTAGGCCTGCTTCTTCCGCAGCTCCTCCTCGGCTCGCGCCGCCCGGCCCTGGGCATTGCTCAGAGCCTGCTCCAGCAGCTCGGCCCGCCGCCGCTGGTCCTCGATGGCTCCGCGCAGCAGTGCCACCTCCCGCTCCAGCTTCTCCTGCTCCTGCTGCTGCTCGTAGCCTGCAGGGACGGAGAGGGGGGGCCTGGTCAGTGACGGCAGCCACCTCGCTGGCCCCATGGAGCACCCCCCACGTACTGGACTCTGGGCTGACCACTGCAGCAGCATAACTGCATCTTATCCTCCCCACAACCTACGAGTTAGGTACCCTTATTAACCCCATTGCATGGGCCAGGAAACTGAGGCTCAGGTTAAGTCATGAGTAAATGAGAGCACCAGGCCAGGGCCCTTGCAGTAGTCACTGGGCTACACTGCTCCTCTGCTGGGACATGGCCTTGCCAGGAGAGAGCCCCAAACACTGCCCACTTGCACCAGGTGTCACCATTTCCAAAACACATTCACAGTTCCCCTCGAGCCTCATGGTGACACTAGAGAGTGGACCGGTAGGAACTGTGACGCCCATTTGCAGATGAGAAAATAGAGGCTCAGGTGGACTGTCGTGTGGTCATCATTCAGTGGAAGAATCAAGGAGAGGGGAAGAGACCACCGTGTGCTGCCCCAGGAGCCAGGCACTTATACATCTTATTCCACCGAAGCCTCCAGTAACAGTCCCTTGAGGCAGGATTTGTGACCCCTCAACTTAAAGGGGAAGAAACATAGGAGGTGAATGGTGCTGCCAGGATGGGGACCCAAGTCAGCCTGCCTCTGACGGATCAGGCTGCTTGGCTGTGGTGTGAGGCCCTCACACCTAGAGGGCTCCCGAAGTGGGCTCCAGGGCTCATTCTGTGGACCCAGGCGCCCCTACCCGCAGAGTGTGAGGGCTGCCCGCCTTGCTGGAGGGCAGAGGCTCTGGGGCCTGCCTGGTGGACTCAAAGCCACTCTCTAGGGCAGCACTATCATAGCACGGTGGAGTTTCCTGTTGTAATGGACTGGTCCTACACCGTGCCAGCCAGTGCAGTAGCCACTAGGCATGCGGGGCTACTGAGCACTGGAAACGTGGCTAGTGTGAGAGAAGAGCCGAATTCTTCATTTTATTTAATTTTAATTAATTTTAATCTTTGAGCCATCTTTAATCTTTGTACCTATCACATAGGACAGTACAAGCTCTGGGACAGAAGAGTGAAGGCTTGGGACCTGGCAGGCAGAAGGCAGGATTCATTTACTCAGGGCCCTGGGGCAGAGAGGGAGGACACAGGTGACTGACCCAGGTCAGCTCTGGTTCACGCTGGATTTCAGAAGGCTGGGTCCAGGCTGGCCTCATTCTTTGGGGTGGAGGGAAAAGATGGCAGAGCTCAGTAACACTGAAATTGAGCCTTTCATCCCAAGCTGGCCTGACACCTGATGGAGTGGAGGGGGCAGGCAGGAGTGCTGACTGGGACTTTGGACCTGGAAATAGTGACCCCATCCTGGGAGGGTTCACAGAGCCCAACAGCTTACAGAGTTTGCAGGAGGCCTGCATCTCATCCCAGTCTATGATGCCCCCATCTTACAGCCTCAGAATCTGAGGCTCAGTGGGAAGAAACTGCCCAAGGGGGACAGGGCTGGGAGAAGCAGGCCTCAGGACTCAAGGCCAGCTCTCCAGGGAGGACAGGGCCTGACCTGAGCTGCAGGTATGTATGGCTTGCCTAGTAGGAAAAGCAGATGGCACTGGAGATAGTGGCCACACTTCCCTACTAGTGTTGACTGACTCCAGAAAAAAGGTGAGATGAACCAGAGGCATCTTCCCTGAGAATTCTGGTTTCCCCATGGCTATTGGGAGCAAGGAAGGGCTGCATGGCTTCCGTCAGCCCTTGGGGAGGATCCCCAGGACCCAGCCTTTGGCTTCCAAAAGCTTCCTGCCACCTCCCACACCTCTAAGGCCCTGGCAGGGGCTAGGAAGCCTGAGCCCTTGGCCATCCCCAGCCACCAGGATAAAACCCTGGGCCTGTCTGGCGGGCAGAGGGCAGGGGGCGGGGGCGCTCCCAGGCCGGGGTGGCCGCGAATCTGGGAGACGGGCGAGGGGCCAAGGGCGAGCGAGCAGTGGAGGGAGCAGGCGGCCCTTCCCCCTGGGAAAGCGAGGCCCCACCGTCACGTCCCAGTCCCTTTGTCCCAGTGTCCTCCCTCCTCCCGCAGTGCGGGCGGGCGGGGCGCGGGAGGGAGCGGCGGCGGCGGCGGCGGGGCGGGGCGCAGCG